GAAATTCGGGAATACGGCGATTTCGTTTGCAATCTGAAAATGCGAAAGTTAGACATGGTAAAAATGAAGGGTTATAATTCTCCGCGATATCAGCGCTCGTCAAAGCAATCGCATCTGACATAGCCACTGGAAAGAGGAAGAAATTCTGCATAGAATACTGCTTGAAGCAATCGTTCATATTTGCTTTAAGGCATTTTACTGTTCGTTCAAAAAAACGGAAAGAACTTTTGCACCGGACTAACATTTTCTCCATTTCTGAATTTGAAACCTTGAAAATAAAAAAATAGACGTCCTATGACGTGAATAGGCGCATGCAAATGGCTATCTATTAGAATGTGAGGAGTATTTTTTCAGTTTTCGAAAGGAACTACAATGGATGCGATTCCATGAACTCCACCGGTGCAAATTCGAGCTTAATTAATGCAACATCTGAGGTGGTATTACATTTCTTGACTCTATGCTTTCATAAATTTATTTCTGTCCTTCCAGGATAACGGCGCATTATGTAGAAGAGATACGACAATACTCTATATGCTTTTGATGTTTGGAACGTTATGGTTGGGTCTATTCCTTTACAACTTCAGGAAGGTAAGAGTCTTGAGAAGACAATCCGATTCCCCGACTTCTGAAGTACATAAATTTTTAGACCCCATATTTAACACGATCACGTCGAGAATGGTTAGCTGACTATGCTTTGCCAGCTTCTGTTCTGATCATGTCGTTCACTGGATCCTACTGCTTTGCTGATATCGAAAGTAAGCCTATGAGGGAAAAATTATTAGATCAGCAGTCATTTTTCCCTCTTCAGAGGATCGTTTCCATTTTTACAAAGATGTGCCAATTGTACATCTAGCCGATATATTGTCATTGCCACCATCCGGATATTTTGTGTGCCTTCTGTTAGGATTCTCTTTGTCATTTTTATTCTTTATGGATCAAAATATTACATCTGCTATCGTGAATAACCCGCAGAACAAGTAAGTATACTTTGTTCTTTGTGTATGCATCTTTGCCCGTGTGTCAGTGTCG